TTAACGCATTATTATTGTTGTTTTTTAATTTATGTCTACAATAATGGCAGTAGCACGAACGTTCGCGCGTATAATTTATACAAGCACAACGAACTTTTAAGGTCAAAATGTTATTACTTTAATAATGTTCACATTAATTATTTATCATCTGCAATATACTCTATTCTAGAAACTACTATAATATGAGATGATACAAGATGTTCTTATTAAACGGTTTCGACCTTGCGCCAATTGATTGCCAATAATGTTGTAATTTTATATTTTAAAGTTTGTATGGAACGTAAGTCGTAAGTCCCACTAATAGGACAAAATATTTCGAAGAACACATTTTTCAAAAAAAATTTCTAAAGAAAACCTATATAATATTACTTATTTGTTATGGCCCGACGATTATTACCTATATAAGTTGAATTCGTAGAAACAGTTTAGCGGTTTTCGTTGTAGATAAAGCAACTGGTTTTTAACACACTAAACTACATCATGCCGTGCAGTAGAATGTAAGTTTAATAATAAGAATTGTTAATAAATTATAGGTAAATAAAAATACATAAAAGTAAGCCGTATGCCGATCGGATCTAATGAAATCCAGATAAATAAAAACAACATAATATATTTTTACACTCCACTTTAATGAACTTCAATTTGAAACTTTTCTTATCAATATATAAATACATATAAGTACATGTTATGGCGAGAAACTCGATTATCGTTAAAATATTTGCACTCACCTTGGTTGAATTATGATAAAAAAAAACAGTTTTTTTCCCGTCAAACCCCCATTGACTATCCTTAAGTTAACCCTACAGTAGTAAATTCAGAGTGGGTAAAAAACACGTTTATTTCAATAGAAAATTTAACATGTGTAACGGCTCCAAGCTAATTTTATCTCAACGTGAAGTCAACTGCGGCCTAGCTAATAACTACATCATATTGTAAGCGTAAGTAGTACCTACTATAATTATTGCATAATAATAATAACGAGTCGTTGGAATAATATATTACACCGCCATTAGCGTCTCGTTTGCTAATGAAAAATCATTAGCCGTAGGTAATCTTATCGCCGTGTATGTATGTAAAAGATATCAATATTTTCCACTTTTCCAACAACCCACAACCGTGTAAGGAAGGGGTCACGATAAGAACAATATTAGTTCGTTTATCGTGTCTTCCCACAAACGGTTAACGAACATCAATTAATAACAAAATGTAGGTTGTGTTTAATGTTGTAGAAAAAAATTGAATAAAAATTTATTCATTTTGTGCCACTTCTGATGTAGTGGCAGTAGCTAATTTTTTTTCTTGAGAACATTACCCGAAGCAGCGATAAGTATCTTTTATTCTTGATTCAACCTTGCCGCATTACTATACATGCCTCAGGTGTTAAAGGTCATCAAAAACATGTATTGTAGTTTAAAAATTACAGTACAAAGGTCTATATATAGGTCTATATTATAACGACGATCGCTTCATTCGTATACATATCCATAACGATCGTCTAGGCCCTAGGGATTTCTGAAAAAATATATTATCACAGAAATAGCCGGAAAATAAAAAAACGGCAGCAGTCCTGATACAGTCCCAAATTTAAACGAAGGTCTTCACGGTCAGATCGTTTCTCAAGACAGGCGCAACCTTGACTGTAAAAAGCACTTACAAACTAATATTTTTTACTTAGTCGAATGATAAATTTTAAATTAATGTTTTGAATAACTTTTTTGAATAGGTAATTGAATTTGAAATAATTATTCAAACAATCTTTCATTAGAATAACTTTTACTTGAATAATGTATTATTTAGATAACGTTTTATTCGAATGATGCACTAATTTGTGTACAATATTATTATGTATTATCGTCAACAAACATTATAGATTTAAATCAAACAGTTTTTTGTTTTTTTTGTACAAAAAAATCTACATAAGACTTCTTGGCGTCTCTTGGCGGACATTTCCAAAAAAGTTGTTTCCAAATGTTTTTTTTCTTTCTCCTAACCGACACCCGAGGACGGCTGTGTGGTCGTGGCTGTTTAAAAATGATTATTATGTAATACTCAAGCTAAACGTCTATAACGATAGTGTTTTTGGAAAACAAAAGAATAATAAAACTCTCGTTTTCGGTAGGACCCCGGACCTAGGCCTAAAGCTACTCGGGTTAATAGTGGTAATTGACCGAAAACAGCGTTGTGTTTTTTTTGGTTGTTCTTGAACTAATGCATAATATAGGACGCATTAACACGAAAATACATTAATATGGCAACAGTGTTGTAGGATAATAATCATCATACGATTGTTTTTCGAAAGTACAACAATATTGTTATCATCCATTACCGATTAGAAAGGGAAGGGTGCCGGCAAGTATGGGAAACAATAACATTGAACTGTCTAAAAAATATATACGTTCACCGGCGACAAGACAACTTGGGTCCAACTAAAACAGTATTTCAAATGGGGAGGGGGGGCTATCGGTTTTAACGGTACTATATTATTATAATTAATATGATAATATATAAACGAATAATAATAACAATTATACAACCCGTGCAATATGAGTAGGTATAAATCACAAGGTACGTATTATAAGAAATTATAAAGATATGCAATAATATTATTATTAGTAAAGCTAATACCGGCGCACGCCAACATGCTATAACAGACTGACCAGACGTTTGGAGGTTAAGTGCAACGCATTAATAATTATTACCTTAATGGTAGATTTAAATATCGATACGATTGTCCAATAATCAAAACGGCCGCACGCAAATCGATTATTATTTATTGTTATATTACCATTATTATAATTCGGTTGAAAACCCCCAAAGCGCTCATTAAAATCCATGACTGCTCGTTTCCAATCACCGAACATTGTAAAAGTAGAAAAACTGGAGCATTATATTAATGGGTTGAAATGGGGGGGGGGGGGGGTAAATAGCGAATGTTTTATGTACATAAGCAATATGGAAACAAAACAATAAAATAGATACTGCAATTGGAAAATCTTATATTTTCCAGATTTTAAAATATTTGTTTGATGTATTAAAAATAATTCGGCGATAATTAGGTACTAAAACATTAGTCTTATTAATACTTGCTTTTCTGCCAAAACACGGTATTAAAAATTTGACAAAATTTATAAAAAAAAAATGTGACAATTTGTAATAAAATTGTTTTTTGAAAAATATAATATTTTGTGTAGTAATTATTTTCAAAATACTTTTACATTATGTTTTGGCGGGAAATCAAATATTAACACACTCAAACATTTCTAAATATTATACAGCTAATATTTATACAATACTGTTTTTCACAACTTCAAAAAAATGTCGACCAAATCTCAACAAATTTACTTGTATTTGATAATGCTGTGTGTGCGCACTTATTAAAAATAAATTAATATTTTTATTTAGCTGTATAAATAAAAAAAAATCGGCATAATTTTTTAAAAATATTTCATCATGTTATGTTTGCTATTTACATTAAAATATGTAATATTTAATCGAAGATACTATATTATTTTAAGAACAATAATAATATGTAAGAAAACAAAAGTATTCATTCTCTGTAAACTACCTCAACAGTAGTGACATTAAATTTAAACTGTTGACTTATTTTTTTCAAACTATAACATCAATGTCATAATATCAAAACGTCAGTGGTGAAAACAATTAGAAAATTTTTACCTTCAACATTTACAACTACCTTCAAACTAAGGTGTTCACCCCGATAGTAAGCTGGATTTTTTTTTTATTTTAACTAAAATGTAACGTACTATCGCTATAAAGAATTTTGCATTATAACTCTAACATTTAAATATTTCTTTTTCTCTTTTTTAATTACAGTATTTTACAATCGCCATTCATCTTTGAATATTAGTTTTCGGTCTTGCCATTTGTCTAAGTATCAGAAATTCTTTCAACACGTTTACACGTCTACCAGTCAAATTATGCATGCAATAGGCAACGCCATGTTGATGGACATGTACTTTGTAACTATAATATGTTCATACTGTTACTACTTGCAATAATTAAATAATTGGTATTATATTTTGTTTTAACCGTTCTAATTATGATTGAAGACATGTGCTGTTTTAAAAAAAAAATTCTAAAAACCACAAAAGAAAATGTACAAATGCAATATAAATGGAATTTAATGTACCCAGCCATGTACTACTAATGATCGACGGTCATTTATTGGGTATATTATATTATGTTAACGATCCGATTATTAAACATGCTATTCGAATGCGTCCAATTGTGTTATATTATGTTTTACTGATTATTTGTTAAAAAGAAGATATTATAAAAAAAATATATATTAAAATGCACAATATTCTATAATTACTGTTTTGGCATAGTTCAGAGAGAGTTACATATTCTATGTGACTTTTAGCCATTCAAAATGCGCATGTCGTGTAATAGCATTGAGGAAGAGTTTTTTTTTCATGTTTTATAGCACTTTTTTGGTGAAAACAATATTGACAAGAATACAAAACACCGGTCATTTGAATTTGTCGATAAATAAACAAAAAAAATGTACTTCACACGGTGACTAATGCGATACGACGTAATAAAGGTCCACGTTGTGTGTTGTGATAAGAGAGAAAGAGAGCAAGCTATTGAACGGTTTATTGAAAATTTCCAGCGAGCCTATAATAAAATATGTTATTTCGGTAAAATATAATATTGATAACGCGTTGACCGAATCAACAACTGCAGCCAGTGGTAGGTAAGTCAATTACGGTTGATAACAACAACTGCAGTTTAACGGCCGGCATCAAACCAACGGGCTTTAGCCCCTTTGGACTTGGAAGGCAGAACTTGAGGAAATCTCTAAGACGAGTCTGAACACCGTCGACCGGGTATTCCCCTTGCCTCGCGTAAGAGCCCGTGCACGGGTTGTACAAGTTTACAAGTGTACAGTTGTACATTGTAACAACTATATAATAGTGTAATAATAATAATAACATAAAAAAATATATGTATGCGTTTGTATATGTATGACTTACGTGTATCTTCGAAGTTATTCGACGAGCTGTTGCCGGCGGGCACGTGCTTTTTTCCCGGTCAGACTTCCGCGTGACGTATCCGAAGAATTGAAATATTAATTAAAAAAATATTTAAAAAACACCAATAATTAGGAAATAACCAAGAAACTGCAACTGTCACTCGCGGCACAACGACGAATATTAATAATATTTGTTGTTAAAACAAATTATCTCACATGTTTTTCAATCGAACGCGTTCGCCGTTTGAGAATTTAGCCCATAATAATTTTATAAAATATATTTATTATTATCGTCAAAGGGCAAACATGTGGACAACAACGCGAAAACACCAAACAAATTAATTGATTAAAAAAAGTGTCGAATAAAAACTTATATCGGTTTATCAAAGTTAAAAAGTATTTAAAACAAAATAATAAAAACCCGGCGCGGGGACGTTCACACGAAAAAAAACAACTATGATTAATATAATTTATTTTTTAGCTTTTTTTTTTATAATCGATAATTACAATTTTTTTTTCGATCCGTCCTGTTGTAAGTCTGTCGACGGGTATGCGTATGGTCGCGTATGCGTGCACTGACTGCTCGCGCTAGTCGTCCGTACGCGTTCCTCCGTAGCACGCCGGCCAACGTTTTGGCCGGAAGGTCAGCTGATTAGAGAAGAAAGTAGTAGTAGTAGCTGTAGTAGTAGTAGTAGTAGTAGTGATAGTACCTATACCTGCTGCCACTCGGCACACGGTCGTGGTAGAAGAAGTACAACACTATCACGTCGTACATGCTGTGCAACTCTAACACGGTACTATAGTAGTTTAGTATACTAGCAGACAGTCGCATAGCTGATGTATTGTAATTTGACTAGTGTAGTATATTAAACCCAACATGTATCGCTTAGCATCCGACTTAACGTTGAACCTAACCTAACCAGAGGGGGAATTGTTAGGCACTTCGTTTACCCTCTGGCCCGCTTCAAAGATCTACCTAATGCCTAATAATACTAAACTAAACTTAAAACTAATGCCTCCCCCCGTTAGCCGGACCCTCAGGGGTCAGCCTGGTTAGGACCACGAGGAGAGGGGGTCAGGTCTACTACTGCTCACTGTCTCACCCTCTCCTGATCTTCTTTACGTCCCATCACGTTCTCCACAAATTCCAAAATCAACCTCCCAATTCTCTCTGCTCTCCAGCATCTTAAACACGAAGTACACAGGAAAGAGCTCTAAAAAAACATCTATAGTGTTTGAGAAATGTACTTAAAACAGGTACATGGTCAATGAAATAATTAGGAATAGAGGAAAAAAAAACGGAACAATAGTATTATAGCAGTCACTAAAGAGTTGAACCCGTTCTGAAATTTAAAACAAAAACCTTCAGATAAACGCTTCGATGTGAACTGTAGATAGTAACAATATAAAATATAGGTATTGAAAAATAGATTGAGAAGACAATAATGTGCTTAAAATTGTATTTTAAAAAGATAGCCTATATTTATTATATACGCCGGCACGAATCATATCAACGGCAAATGTCCACCCTGGCTCCTCCCAAAATGAAGCTACTGGTCGAGTCCAGACAAAGGAATCAAATAGCTCTCGAATAAAGTTTCTAAGCATTTATATCTACATATTATAATTTAACTTGCAAAAAAATTCTGATTAAGTGAAATGATTTGATAAAACCAAATTACATACATAATCAAAAAATGTCATGTTTCAATTTCAATTTTATCTATATAAATATTATAAATAATTGTATACATGGTATTATTGACGAATTAAACGAGTATTTTTAGCAATTTAATTTATAGATATACAATGCTTAGAAAATTGAATTGATCGCGTTTTGACATTTATTTAATTCATAGCTCTCTGTTAGATTTAGCAGAGTGGTGTCAAAATAATTGGATGTAATTGGGTGAAAATAAAGATAAGTCATAAGGAAAAATATACATTATATATAAATGAATGTCTCACTCGATTACTTCTGTATTTATAAGTTTTTTGTTATCTAAACAAACTGTTGCCAGTTATTTGGCGAGAAGAATGTAAACCAATATTTCGATTAATTATTTTTAAACGTTAATGTACACATTAAAATGTATAAATATACATATTTGATAATCGATAATTAGTATTTTTTAATAATTGTTATGATATTTTATTGACTACTAGCCAATTTACAGACAATCGGCATGTAAATCATGTCATGCAGCTCACATCACAGTATTAATATCGCCGTGTTCTTCATCTGGATCCATCTGGAGCCGTTCCTTGACATGTGTTACGGCAATACTGTATATATAGTCACTTGTGTACAATATAAGTAATACACTTGAGATTAACGCGTCGTATGGGATACACTTCATACACTTAGGGTAGTAAACGTCAGGCCACGTGGTCGTTAAGTTTATAGAGGGTCGATACCCGCTTTTGGGTCTCACGCTTCGTTTCGACAAGTCTTCCAAGACACCGACGACGTTAAAATATTAATCGTGCTAATTGCTATTTCGTTTAGTGTGTGCTGTATACATTATATACACGTATATTATAATAATATATGTTTATTATTTTCTCAAGGAGTGGTGCGAATATAACCGAACGGTAAATTTTTGTTTAACTTTTGCAGTAAATCTAGCAAACCGTTTTCGAATTTTTCTTAATGAAACACCTATTACCTACTTACCCGTAGAAGTAGTAGATTTATCTTGCAGATAAGTTCAGTAAATATATGTAAAACAAATTCGGTCGATTCCCGTTGGATTACTTTCGTTATAATGTGAATATAATAACAGTTTTTCGGGGTGTGGCACTCGGATCACATAACCTTGACCCTGAAAGTGGCAAAATGTTGTTTCACCTAAACCGTCTAGTCATAGTAGGATAATTTAGTTTGTCCGATTGAACGCTTTCTGGTCGCCTGACAAGTAATTAAAATATTTTTTATTATTCGTATAATAATTAGAAAGTCGCCCGTTTGTCTTTGAACGTTTATTAGAACGTCTATCGCTAGCATTTGTCAAATACACTCTTGGTCACACTTAAATACAATTTTAGATGTGTTGTTTTCCAAAACCGTCTACTTTATGGAACGTGAGTTTTTATTTAACGTGTGAACGATATCGTCTCACACTTCAAAATTAAAATATTCTTAATATTTTAAGGTTTGTTCGAAAATATTATATAGGTAGACTTTTTTCTTGAAATTTCGAACTTATTTCAAAAATGAAAACGAAAATATATTTTTAAAGATGATAATATAATATAACAGAAGAACTAAATGCAAAAACAACTTGAAAAAATAAGCAATAAAAATAAGTAGGTACATATAAAATATTTCTGTTGTTTTAAACAGTAGTATAACTGAAATATATATTAATAATAACAATAATAATAATTATATAGGTAATAAATATAATAATATAACTGAAATGTTATGTTGTTAATATTTGATTTTTTGTCGATAAAGTAATATCAAAAATTATGTTGACAAATATTATGCATACTGTAATCTTTTAATCAAATGTAATTATTCTATTTGTATATAATAAATTGTAAATATTAATATTTTTTAAATGCTTTCAGTAAAAAGTATGTTAGTATTTAAAAAATATTACAGTCATGTATGTTTAAGAAGGATATTAAATGCTTAAAAAAAAGTAATATTAAACAAAACCACAAAACGTTGTTAAAATATTATTCAACAAAAACAAAAAAAAAAATAGAAAACATTATTATAATATATTGGAAATAAGTGTCTTACTAACGGAAATATTTTTATAATACTTACACCAAATTTTGTAGGTGATATATTTGTAACATATTTTAATCTCTTGGCAAAAGACAATTTTAAAACATTCAAAATATATGAACAACATTTTCGACAGTATTTTAAAAGTATCCATACATATTTTTGTCGATTGACTTTTTTGTCGTGTCACGTGTGAGATGCAGTCCCTCGTTACCTTTTATATTGTAAAACTAATAATGATGTACTTAACCGTTGACGGGCAATACACAATACAATGCGGGTTCAAGACAAATAATATGTTCCCGTGTACAAGTCCCCCCGCATAGAGAGTCCAAAAAAAAAGTAATTTGTTAAAAAAAAATGTTTAAGCTACGAATGTCATATTAATATATGTATACATCAATCAATATACAATATGGTTCGTGTCCATTACACGGTTAATTAATAAACGCGTCGAAAACAATGAAATTTTACTGCTAAAAAAACCAATTGACAAATTAAATGCTAGTTACCCTAAAGCGACCTCTGCTTATTCAATTTTAGCTTTAAAACATATTATATTGCACTCTCGTTACACAAACGGTTGAATAAAATATAATATTTCGCATAAACCGTACATTAGTATTATACCTATTTTAATGTTTAATGAGAGTTCTTGTCAGACATCTCACGGTGAGCAGCAACTGATTGGCCGATACCAGTTACCAGGTAGAAATATATTAGCAAACAGTATTTTTGGCGATTTATATAAAGTAAACCGAACGGTTTACTCGATTCAATGAACTTAAAAAAGCTAACAAAAAAAAAAAACGGTGGAGTCTGGACTGGCACGAAAACAATTAATTTGCAAAAAAAAAAATATTACAAAAAACCCTCTGTATAGTAGCGACGGGTCACCTAACCTTTGAGTGTGTATTTTTTATTTATATTTTGTTCGTTATAGGGTGGTGGTTGGTCAAAGGCCATTGTTCGATCTGTGGCTGCAATAACAATTATTACTATTGTCGCCGGCGATGAGAAACCCCACAAAATATCACTATTTCCAATAGCTGTTAACTAGAACCGCTGCGACCTATCCGGAAAATCGCGGTAATATATTTTTTAGGCGTTTAGAAATTTGTTTTTTACACAATTTTATTATGATTCATTGCTTGAACTATGCGGGTTGAAACGACAACGGTATTATAACATCACGTTTACCTAATAAAATAAAAAATAATATGTACATTTATATGAAATTAAAAATTCAACAACGAATGGATGTGTGCGATTCGAAGAAAACGGAAATTTCGTCGAAATGGACATTAAAAATGTTTTCTTATACTCAAACATGTAAAATTCTCGAATTCTTTACATATTATATTATTATTACTATAGAAACGTGTTTCGCATTGTGCATAAGCATCGTACAGTAACGGTACTGATAATAATATGATGGATGATAAGAAATTCGTCATTCAATTTGTAAGAAATCGAAACGCCAGGTAGGTACATAGTTTTTTCAACGTAATTTTTGTGGTATCTAGAGTTTGAGTGCTTCAGATAAACGCATAATACCATTTTTTTTTTTGTTCACTTATCTGTCCGTTTTTGTGTTGATAATAGAAAATTATGTAATTGTTATTTATAAGTATGATATTCATTATGATGTTTTGAAAATATAAATTTTCAATTTTTAGTGTTTAATGAACATTTTAAATGTTCAACTTTGTCTACATATTTATGAAATTTAAAACATACGTTTCCATTTAAAGAAACAAAGTCGATACTTGTTTTACGTATAAGGGTTAAAAAAATCTCAAAATTTCTATATTTTCCGAGAAAATAAGTGCCTTACGTC